AATCAGACACAGCACTCTAATGGAATCAGAAGGTCTTAAATTTAAAATAATAATGGACTTCAGGGTTAGGGACAAAAATTTAAAAAGCCTGAGCCTGAATTGATTCAACCTTTGCAGGTTAGTCTAAGCTGGCTAGGCAAAATCAGTTTTGGAACCAGACAGACATCCCAAATATGCAGGCACATGCCTGCAGTGGCTCAGGCTTGAAGCCAGAGGGCACTTGAGCAGCCCTCCCTTCCCTTGCACAGCGCTGAGCTGAGTCGGGTGTGGCCAGGCCCAGGCAAGATGCTATGATTAGGGAGGGGTTCCCCCCCTCCTGAACAGCCCAGCAGGGAATGTTTATCACCCCTAACTCAGTGTTTATCACCCCCTTAAGAAAACAACAGAGGGACATTACCAGCTATCTGTTGATTCTGCCTTTGTCCCATATGCCACAGCTCAGAGGTAGCCAGCATGTGGTCTGCTAATACCGAGAAGTGTCTGTGTAGGATGGGGGGAATGCCTACTTAGCAGAGAGTCGGGGGGAGAGGGGGAGCAGCAGGCAGGCAGACGCCTGCAGAGACTACCAGAGTTGCAGCCAGGGAGCAGAGGGGAGGGGCCAGCCCTGCTGTGGAGCAGAGAGCCCCACCCAACCCAGAGAGCATGCCAGGATGCTGGGGGATCTGATTTAATTGAAACCAGCAAGGGGTCTGGGACAAACATTGCATAAACTGGTTTGAGTCAAATCAGTTAAGTCTGATACTACAATCAACCAGGTTTATCTCAAACCAGTTTCAGCCATTCTCAAACTGGTTTATGTGCACTGAACATCTGTGATGTTACAGGTTTAAACTAGTTTCTGATCACTTAAATCAGTTTATGTGTAATGTCTGTCCCTAGCCTAAAAAAGAATGGTCTAAAAGAACTGCCTCTAAAAAGAAATGTCTCTAAAAGAACATCATTATAAATTTTTAAAGATTGGATTTGATAAATCCTCTGAACTCTACAGCAGAAATTACATCTTAACCTCGAAAAGGCAAGCAACTTTTTTGGGTGATATCTTGTATAGGAGCAACTGAATAGTAGGGAGACTGCAGACAAGTTTTTGTGTAAACGTACCTTGCCTCAAGTCTGGGTACATGACAAGCAGAAGATTCCAGACTCCAATGCTGAGTCAATTAAGGGAAGATTCTAGAATTCAATTTTTACAATAATACAACTTACAAAAAGGTTCTTGGCTAAAATTGATAACTGCAGTTGGATATGTAAACTGATTTAAAAAAGATAATGTCAACTCAAACTGAGATATTTTTGGTAGAGGTGCACCAATACACTGGTCCGATATCAGATTGTTACCGATATAAAGAAAATTTGCTATATCGGATATCGGCCTGATGGGGCCAATAATTTGGCCGATAAATATTCATGCTGTGCACAGCCGCAGTGCAGCACTCAGGGAGCGAAGAGCAGAGCCGGCAGTGTGGAGAGCTGCCTCCGGCTGTTAAGTCTGATGTGGTGAAAGGGGAGGGTGGAGGGAAGGGGCATGGAGGGGCATATTAATGCCCCCTGTGGTGAGGGAGAGGGAAGGGGCAGGTGCTGCCTAGGTGGGGCCGGGGGGGGGGCACGACTCGTGGTGGGGAGAGGTGGCTCTCACCACTGCTTGCACCCCAGAAGAGCACTGGGGGGGGGCGTGTGACCCCCAGATCTGCACAGGGTGTGGCGGGCTGCAGCCGGGGCTCCACAGGGCTCTTCTCAGCAGGGGCTGGGCTCAGAGTAGGGACTGGTGAAGCCGGGAGGATGCTGCATCCACCCCAAATTTCACTGCCGCTCCGTTCCCAGTGCCGCAGCTAACAACAGCCCCGCGCAGCCCCAACCCTTCCCAGTGTGTGGGTGGAGTTGGGGTATTTAGCCGGGCTGTGGCAAGCAGCTGGTGGTTCATAGTTTCATAGTTTCAGGGTCGGAAGGGACCTAATAGATCTTCTAGCCCGACCCCCCGCCAGGGCGGGAGAACAACCCCAAAAAACAAACAAACAAACAAACAAACAAACAAAACCACTCACCCTAAAAACAAAAACGGGACTCAAATGAGTCCAGCCAGGTAAGTATCCAGCCTCTTCTTAAAGATCCCCAGGGTAGGGGCCAGCACCACCTCCCTTGGAAGTTGGTTCCAGCTCCTAGCCGCCCTGACTGTGAAGTAGTTTTTTCGGATGTCCAATCTGTACCTCCTCTCCATCAACTTGTGCCCATTATTCCTTGTTATGCCAGCAGGGGCTAGGGGAAACAGCGTCTCCCCCCAACCCTTCTGGTTCCCCCTAGTGAGTTTATAGATGGTCACCAGGTCCCCCCTCAGCCTTCTCTTGTGGAGGCTGAATAGGTTCAGGTCCCGCAGTCTCTCACTGTAGGGTCTGCCCTGTTGTCCCCGGATCATGCGGGTGGCCCTCCTCTGGACCCTCTCCATGTTGTCCACATCCCTCCTGAAATGGGGCGCACAGAACTGGACACAATACTCCAGCTGCGGCCTGACCAGCGTCGCATAGAGGGGGAGGATCACCTCCCTGGCTCTACTCGAGATGCACCTGTGGATGCACGACAAGGTCCGGTTAGCCCTGCCAACCATGACCTCGCATTGTCGGCCCATGTTCATCTTGGAGTCAATAATGACACCAAGATCCCTTTCCACCTCCGTGCTCTCAAGTAGGGAGCTCCCCATCGTATAAGTGTGCTGCTGGTTCCTACTACCCAAGTGCAGCACCCTGCACTTGTCCGTATTCTGACACTTGGAGTGGTGGCAAAATTTGGGGTGGATGCAGCATCCTGCCAGTGCCCACTCCAAGCTCAAGAAGAGCCCCACGTAGCCCCACCCCATGCAGTTCCGGAAGGCACAACCCCCATGCCCTCCCGGGATGCAAGCAGTAGTAGGAGTTGCCTCCCCCCCCCCCACCAAGCTGTGGCTCCACCCTCCCAGCCCTGCCCTTGCCCCCTCCCTCACTGTGGGGGCATTTATCTGCCTCCCCCACACTCCTTCCCTCCTCCCTCCCCTTTCACCACACCAGACTTACCAGCTGGAGGCACCTGTATTGGAAATTGGATCGGTATCGGCTGATATGCCTCTTTAAATATCGGCTATCGGTATCAACCCCCAAAATCTCTATCAGTGCACCCCTCATTTTTGATGTTCTGTAAAAAAGACTACTTAGTTTGGGTTTTACTTTCCTAGTTTAGTGCTGCACTGAAAAGAGGAGCAACAAAATACTTTACAGCACCGAATCTTCTGCTGCCGCAGGCCAGAGGAGTGGTGTTGGGTCAGTCTGTGGGTCCGATTCCACACCATCCTGATCTGGCTGTGTGCCTCCTCAATCTGGCCACATGACAGCCTGCCATCTTGATCTGACCACACACTGCTCACCTACTCAATCCAGTCATGTGCTGCCTGCCACTCTGATCCAGCCCCATGCAGCCTACCTACTGCATCCAGCAGCACGTGGGAGCTAACTGGCATGCAGGGCCATGCTATCTGGTCCTCTGGGCTTCCCATGGGTCCAGAAATTTGGCAGCAATTAATGGTGCTACCACTCCCCTGCTGCCAAATTTCTGGACCCATGGGAAGCCAGATGGGCAAATACAATGCACATCTTTAAGAAAGGGAAGAACGAGGAACCAGGGTCAGGCTCACCTCGGACCCTGGAAAAATCATGGAGCAGTTCCTCAGGGAATCCATTTCTAAGCACTTGGAGGAGAAGAAAGTCATCAGGATGAGTCAGCATGGATTCACCAAGAACAAGTCATGCCTGACCATGCCTTCTATGATGAGATAACTGGCTCTGTGGATGTGGGGAAAGCAGTGGACATATGTAACAGGGCCATCCTGGGGACAAGTACATCACTGGCTCTCCCCCTGTCTAGTCAGTCCACCCTCACTCTCCTGCCATGCCTTTGATGTTACCACAAATTGATACTTACATGTGGGAGGCTGCCCATTTGTTGCCCTGATGGGCAAAACACATGGCTCTGAACCTCCCCTAATACCATGTCCCATGCCTTGCACATAGCATCCAAAATTGGCTACAACTCCTCCTGCTCCTTTGCTGGGCCACACTTGGCCTCTGGCCCAAACATGGCCTCAGTCCCCACTCTGGGGGGCTTCGCCTCCTGGCCTCTTCGCTGGGCCACACTATTCTGCCTCTCCCTGGGTCACTCTCTCTCCAGTCAGGCCCTACTCTGTGCAGCTGTTTGGGTCCCACCCAGGTTTTACTCTGCACAGGCCTTCAGGCCCCTTCCTTCAACTCCAGCCCTACTCGATGCAGCCCTTTGGGTCCCCCTCAGGCCCTACTCTGCACAGCCCTTCAGGATCACTCTGCCCCACACTAGGTCACACTCCTGCTCCTGCTCTGGGGCCTTACTTTGGGTCTTACACCTCTCAGGCTGAATGTACAGGAGAGTGCTCATTAACTGTATATCTGTCCAATCCACAACCCCACCTCTCCCTACCCCCACAACCAGGGATGGAGTGGAGAGCAAAGATACAAGACCAAGCCACCTCCTGGCATGCCCCTGGATGAAAAACATGCTGCTTCTTGCCACTGCAGTGACTTTGAAGCATTTTGACAGGAGGCATGGGGGAGAGGGGGAGAAGGGCTGTACATTTGTCCATGAAATAGCCCGAAGTGTTCTAAATTTGAAGTACTTCAAATGTACGTGTGTCCGTGGCCTAGGAAGAGCTTGTTCATAATCAAAAAATAGATTAAAACCTGAGCTCCAATTCCACTAGAAGAGGATCTAATAAGCACTGGAATATTTAAAAGAAACTACAAACGAACAAACAAACAAACTGATTAACCCCATGACTTATGCAAGAATAAATTATAGGTAATTAGTAGCAACTAGTCATTTCTTGGTAAGTGATATCAGAATGTGTTTTGGATGAGTCTGGAGACAGGCAGTCTCCGAAGACAGTATTTATAACATGACAAAATTACTTTGGACATTTCACATATTCACTAATAAAAAAAAGTCCTTCTTACCTGCTATTGCTTCAATACTTGGGATTGCAATAGTGCTATAAGTACTAATGCATTGGCAACACCATGTCTGAACTAGGGTTTCTTCTGTACTTTCCAATCCTGAGATATCCACAAAGTAAGAGCCCCACTGTTTAGAGTCAGAATTAGGAGCTTTGGGATGATGTCCCTGAAATTAAAAAAAAAATGTAACTACAAAGAAAATATTGTCTTCCTTCTTCCTTATGAAAACATTATTTTATTTTATTTTAAGAGGCTTTGTAATGATTGACTGATTCAATAAAAGTATGATGTAACATGACTTAAAAAATAAAAATATGAAGCAAGACCGAAAAAATCCACTAAACCTTTTTTCTTTATTATTATCTGTGACACAGAACTATTCTTTACTATTACTCTATTTCTTTACTATCTGTGGTTTTATCTTTTTTTCCACCTCTGAAAAATGTTCTTCTGTTTGTTTTTCCATCTAAATTATTATGTGTACTTCAGCTGCTTTTATTTGCTGGACCCTGAGTACTCATAATACAGGACTGTAAACTGAGCTGCAGTTCTCCCTTTCCTCACTTCAGGAAAGAGAATATGCTGAATAGCTGATGAAGTAACCGTGGAGAAAATATTACTTTATCTAACTGCCTTCAGCATCCCTTCACTTCTTAGCTGAGAGGTGAGAGAGAGCTGTGGTTCATATAACAGGCTCATGGGACATATTCAGATATCTTAGCAAAGAGGAAGAAAGTGACATTTCTGATATTAGGGGATTTATTACAGCTTAAATAAGATCTTAATTTGTGTAAGAGAGGAGGTGCTTGGTAAAGGAGTGTTTGCAATTTGCTTTACAGTTTATCTTGAAAGTTGCTCTATACTGTCCAGAGTAGTGAAACATAAAAAGTTCCAGGAGGCTTCCACAATGATACAAAAATTTAAAATATAAATTGCAAACCATACTGCAGAAAATCTTCAGAAGTCATCTGTGTGCAAAGGAGGAGAGGGGAGGAACAACCCTAGCTGCTTCTTGCCTGCTTCTCACATCAGAGCTCCTGGTGTGAGAAGCAGGCACAGGGAATGCTGCCCCCTGCCTACTTCCCCTTGCCCCTCACAGCTGAGTGAGCCAAGATTGCAAGCTTGGCACTCAGCCCAGCAAGAATTTCAGATAAATTTTTAATGGTAGAAAGGAATGCCTGTCCTTGGCATATATTAGTAAAAAGAGCATATACAGACAACATTGGGTTAGATTCTGTCCTAGGCTAAGATGTGCTTGACATCAGGCAGCTAACTGAAGATCCCTGACTCCAAAGACACATCTGCTCCAGCTGTGGTCCTCAAGATGGAAAGAAGGTGGCAATCTTTCTACTAGAGGCTGCTGGACCTGACTTTACCCACTTTATTCCAGTTGAGATCTCTCTCTTTCTCTTTGCAGGGGGAATGTTTGCATCAAATGAACAATACAAGAGAAGACTGCAAAGGAGAACTGGCTGTACATTTAGTAAAAGGTCATTAGCTCATTATGAATGTGACCAAAAATTGGATTACATGCCAGACTGAATAGCTGCAACAAGAATTCATCAGTCTGCAAATCGTCTATTACAGAATAAAATGAGAAGGGAGCTGAGCTACAGTTTTTGTCAACTTTATAAACAACTACAGAAAAAAAGGGCATAAACAGCCAGAGAGAAGACACGACAAGATGAAAAAATCAAACTGAAAAAAGAAATCATTTGAAAAGGTGAAAAGCAGTCTTTACATGGCTTGCATAGCTGCTTATATATTTAAGCAGTGCTTTTTTCCAGCTGTATCAGTTTCATGGTTAAAGCAATGAGACCCATTGTCTGCAACCTTGCCTTTTAGCCAGTCATAGGGCCTGATCCCACTAACATTTAGTTCTGAACATCATTTTTACTATTACAATAGCCCCATGACTACAAAGTAGGACAGGCAATGTGTATATCAGAAGTGTAGTAATATTGAACTGGCAAAGCAATCCCCTTTGTTGGTGTACCTATAATGTTGAAGCTGTGCTCCATACCAATAGAGTGAAACCATTACCATCATGCCCTAAAAGAGAAAGGAAGGTATACAGTTTTGCCTGCATAACTGTATCTATGCTCACTAGGGCTAGGTACAGACATTCAAAAAGCCCAAGGCAAAATGGATCTAAGTTACATGCTTGTCTGTAAGTGGTACAGTTCAGATCAGTAGTGAAGAGAACATACATTTGCCAAAGGGGGATGGGAGGAGGGAGTGTGCCAAATCTTAGACCAGGGTCCACCATTTTTAAAACAGTCTGCGTGTGCTGAACTTCTGTTCTGTTATGGGTATAGACCAGTTTTCTATCACTTATACCAGTAAAAGTGTATATGCCAATGTCAGTCAGAGATCATACTTCTTCAAACTCCTAAACAACATCTGTGTGATGTTAGTTGGTTGGCCTCTGCATAAAACAAAGGGGCAGATCCTCAGAAATTGTCAGATCATTACTGAAATAAGTGTCAGGGGGGACTGAGTGCTTGCAGGATCAGGTGTATATCACAAACATACAAAGGGATCAGCAGGACATTACAATCTGCATGTCACCTTTAAATGGACACAGTTTTCCAGACACTTAGCAGCAATGTTGCACTTGCTGTTGTGAGTGGTCTTACTGGAAGCATGTAGATGTGACCTTGTGGAGGGTGGAGCTGAGCATGTAAGAGGGAGGAAGATACAGGGAGAGGTGAAACAGCCAGGGTTTGTGCCCTGAGTGAACCCTGCAGAAAAGCATGGCAGGGGTGTAGTTTTGTTCTGAGAGCAGCAGGAGCAGTGCATGGAGAGCAGGAGCTGAGTGGGGAGGAGGCACAAGAGTCTTACCCATGCTGGGAACTCCAAAACAGTCCTTGGTTGTGCAGCTGCTGCTACATGCGCTGCCCACCGTGGCTCTTGCTCTTCACGCAGCAGCACCCATGTGACCATGCACCTGCCGCTGCTGATATAAGAACAATACTGTAGGGCTGCTCTTGCTGCTGGGGATGGATTCTGTGGGGGTAGGGGACAATTCTTACACCTTTCTAGCTTGGCACTTGGGGTAGGTTGGTTGCCTACCCTTACTTACGATACTGGAAATAGGGCTTTGCCTGAAGTGAGTAGGCCTGTTCTTGGCCTTGTAGGCTGATTAGAGCAAGAAAAGCAGCAGTTGGATAGGAGAAAAGGAAACACAGAAGCTTAGGGGAAAATCCCATAATGTTGTGTAAATAGTATCCATAATAATTAAATGTGTGCAAGATAAAGAATGTCATTCAATTGAAAAAAAAAGCTAACTTTGTGCTAATACAGTGGTTTTTTTGCAAGGATTTCACGTTGCCTTACAGACATTAACTTATTTTGCTTCACAACATCCCAAATGGGTTGTTAATGGAAGTAGTATTGCAGACAAATAATGATTAGCTGGTTTGTCTAAGGACACTCAGCAGGAGTTTTGGGAATAAAACCAAAGGGACATGACTTCCTGCCTCAACTAACTTGTAGACAATACATTGTAACATGAGTGCTTCTAAGATCCCTTGTGCAGCAGAAATGAACCATACCTTCCAGCAATTTCTTAGATTTTCACTGAATTAATTAGTGCATTAGCATTTTAACATAGAGAATAACTGCTCAGTATTCACTGCTCTCAATTTTTTTGGATGAATTCCAATTATTTAAAGAATTTTCATTCATAAAATTCTTTCATATTTTTTAAACAGAGAGGAAAAAAACAAAGAACCAAAAAATTAAACCCTCAAATCCACTCCCTAAATCCAGGGAGATTCCAATTTTACACAATGCTTATTTCCAATGTGCTGTAATTGACTGGAGAGCTGATTTTTTTTATGAGGAATGCTTACAGCTTACTACTTTAATGATAATTTAGTTATGACTCACACACTTGAAAGAACTACAACTATTACTATAGTGTCACAGTTGCAGATCTGGTTTGCATCATGGATTTAGTTGCAGGCAAAAATGACTAATGAAAATGCAAGTTATTAACTGCTGAGCTTGTGAGTGCCAGTTTTTGTTACTTCTCACCCCCCTTTTGCTCTTTTAATGATGAAACATTAAGTGTATAGATCTGGAAACAATATATTGCTTATACTATTTGTATCTCCTTTCATAAAGAAGTGCTTGCAGCTGGTAAACCGGAAGTAAATACATTTTTATACGTTTAATAAAATCATTAGGTCTTAGAGAGATGGAATGAACTTGTGTTAAATCTTTGTATAGGATGCAGTATATACAAAATAATAGCATTTTGGCACTTCCCCAAAATACTATTATTAAGCCACCAGTTGTTTGTGCCTAATTTTTATACAACCTGGCATTGTTCCTGTGCTTTGAATCTGCTTTTTTTTCCACCTTCCATTTTTAAAATTAATAGACAAGTTCAACATGGAATCTCTTTGAACTAGTCTTGTTCGGTTAGTGGCATCCAGTCAACTGCAGAGATATGAATATGATCTGTTATGCAGGCCCCTATGAACAGCATGGTAACAAAATAACAATGCTGACCTGCCACTGCCCCTCTCAGTTCTGATTCCTTTAATCAATACAATTCATTTCCCCTTTGCTTGCTTGATGTCTCTAGCAGTGGACATAAACTGAAAGCAGGTTATGAGCAGCAGAGATGGCATCTGATTGGGACACTGTGATCGCAGTACTGCACTCTTAGCAAGACATCAATTTCTTATCTAAAAATCTGTTTCCTGCTTGGTAAATGCAGCCACACATTTACTGTGGCATCTTGTGATGAACAAACCGGATGTTTTGCAACTAGATAAAAGTAAATTATCATAGCTAGAAGTCTAATTCAAGAATATTTTGCAAAGTTACGAGAACATACAGGAAGAGGGACTATACATAAGCAGTAACTTTGGCTTAATATCTTTGATTCATCAAAGCTATGTATTTAATACATGTGAAACATGTTTGAATTCTAGACATTTCCATTTAGTGAGCCATTGCTGTCTGTTTGACTTTTGACAAATGAAAACAAAATCCCACAAACATTAATTTTAAACATTAGGGCAATCAGAGGTTCCATGAAGGTAATGCATAGAAATAGTGCAGAGGAGTGGGTAATATGATGTTATTGATATAATTTTAACTCACTCATATTTCACTCACTCATATCGGTTAACTCATTTTTCTAACCCCAATAAATAGACCAATCTACACATTTCTTATGTTTTACTGAGTTATTTTTTCCTGCTG